CATTCATGAGTGATCAGTTACTCCACCCTTCCTCCTTTTGTGATGATAGGTACGTTTGGACTTACTTTTAAATAAAAATTTCCTTACACGGTGTTCTATTTCGCATCCCGTTGGAGAACAATATTTATGTAAGTACCCTTTTACTAGCTTATCAGTCGACTACAAATTACGGAGAGTGCGGAAGGCATCGATGCATTACTTTAGATGACTACACCATTTATTATCAGTTTTTAACCAAAGTTTTGGCGTTTAAAAAGGTACAATGGGAGATAGATGTTTACCGAAGTGAACGAAAAAGTCTAGAAATCTGATGGTCATAAATAAGACAGTGAGTAATGAGATGAAATTATTGGTTAGTCAGAAAAGTGTACATACCATTTAAGTATCATCGGCGGATAAAAAGGTCTTACCAAGTGTGAAGCAATGGAATGGAACATTACCATACTTAGCGGACAATAAAAGTAAATTGACTGAGCCCTGGAAGATTTTATTATTAACGTTCTGAGGGTGGGAGTAGTGTTTCCCCGTTTTCACTACCTGGGTTCGGTCTTCAAAGGAGGATTAAATGTAGTTATGCATTTAACACGCCATATCAAAAGTTTTTAACTTATTTAGTAGAGATCAGTATTGCACTTTAAAAAAGCTTAAGTAAAGTCATAGTATAGAGAGTTGAAAAGGTAGATAATAAAAGATAAAATTATCAGTGTTTCTTAACATCTTACTTTCTTGACGTGCTTTCCATTCTGATACGTAGTCATTTTATTTTAACTCCAACTTTCCTTTCATCATTTGAACCTACTCCACAATGTTAAATATCACAACTCACTGTTCGTTATTACTTTATTCTCTCATCTGGAGGCTCTAACTACATTTTACTCTAGCAACAAGAGACGGTATAAGTTTAAACTAAGAATTAGTCATACCTCTGTCTGTTCAACTACAAAATGTTAAACATTGATTAGTGTTCATATCCAAGTGCCTTGCTGTTCCTTTGTTTCTATTTTCACAGCATCACGCTCTCAGTGCACATATATGGTACTTCTGACGCCTGGAACAGACGTGACCTACTTTTTTTTCAAGATTATAGCTCACACCAAGCACTCTGCAAATTTACTTTTGTAACAACTAAAAACTTGATAAGTTGTATTGCATAAATACGAACAGAATTCTAGCACAATTATGCAGAGTTAAAATCTGGTGTGAAACATGGACGTGGTGCCATTTTGGAAAAATGTTTTAGAAAACTGTACTCGGTGCAATACTAAAATATGAACCTAATTACTGACACTTTGACATAGTTGAATGAATGTAGTGTATTTAAATTTTGTCGATTTACTTCAGTTAACAACTACATGAGAAGCATACTGTTGGCAAACTAATGTTGGAATTTATAGACCCTGCATGTACCTGCCATGGTAGAAATATATTGTGTCTGAGGACTACAACTGACCGGGATAGGAAGATACATTACTCTCTGACAAAGTTATTCCCAGGTAACTCAACAAAAGGGACAGTAGTTTTGTTAGAATTCAGCCTTTTGTTGGAGAATGGGCCATGCCACTAGTCAAAACTGCGTGCTGGCCATCAATAAGATGTTAATCGAGAAGAACGTAAATATCTTCATGAGCATGGTTCGTAGTTTTACGGCTGTCAGTTAAGACCATAAGGTTTATTTCTCAGTACTTAATTTATCCGTGGCTAACGTCCTTGAAGAAATGTGCTGAAATGCCATGGAGCGACTTGGTGATGATGATGTTTTGAATCAGTTAAGAGTGGCATTAAAGATGAGTCCTCCATCACTTGCGAAAAATTTGGGACATGCATGCATAGACTAATATTTTTGTCGGAGCAACTTAGTAAGACACTTACTTTTATTGCGACATGAAACATTCCTAATAGCCTCTGAATAGAGATTTATTGATACGTTTTCTTGAATGAAATTGTTACAATGCCTTTCTTCCTCTTTCTCGTGTTCGATTCAGTGAATATTGTAGCATCAAAAACATAAAAATGATATTTGTGTGAAAACATTATCTTTGTAGTAATGCACTTCATGACTGGGCTATTTCAATCACTGTTCTTCATTTTGCTACCTTCGTTACCTTTAGTTAAGCTTTCTTAGCGCACCTCCACCCAGTGCTTCTGTGAAATAAAATGAAATCAGCATACAAGGTCACACACATTCGACTAGGAGAATATTGAAACCTTGGATAGAGGGGAAACTACCCGACCAAGCTGTCCAGACTGGAGAGCACAACTCGACCTAAGCCATCTGTCCCAGCAACAAATCTCTGCTATATTGAAAGTACTTGTTGAACACATCCTACAACGCTAGTAAATCTTGAAATGTCAAGTTGTGTTGACTTCTTACTTCCTTATACGGGGAAGAAGTTTACAACACAGGCGTACTCACCTCGTTTTCCTGTACACAGGTGTTTGACGCAGTATGAGAGATTTAACTGATCGATGAAACACAGTAACAAAGTGATGCGTAAACATATGAGGTGTGGTTAGAAGTTATGGTGGGCGTTTAGCAGTAGAGTGTGGATACTTCGGATGAAGTTTGTTCTGAGGAGCAAGTCATAAGACTATTGAGGCATGAAGCAATGGTTGATGTAGAAGGATGACTGCAGAATATCTCTGGAAATAAGTTTGAGAAACTCCTCAGCTTGGTTCAGTAGGGAGGTTCTCATCCTTCTCCGTAAAAGAAGGAAAGTGTGGTACAGATTTAGGTTACTGGGGTCTCATGAGGCAAAATATCAGTATCAAAAAGCTCGGAATACCTGTGCTTTGACCCTCCGTAAGTCCAGAAAGCTATACGAAGAGAAAATCGTTAAGGAATCCATAGAATGTCTTAAACGTTTGTATTCGTATATAAACCCAAAGGACATAGAGAAGAAATCTCCCTTCACTATTGGGAGACCGTACTGTCTCATCACTAATGAAGGATGACTTTGGCAAAGCTCATGTATCCTCAAAATACTTTAGCAATATATATATATATATATACCATAGAAAGACCCTTCCCACCAGTCCATGAACATCCCCCCACACAAACACTGGACAGCGTGACCGTTAATGAACTTGATGTCCTTGATCTGCTAAATAAGCTTGACATAGGCAAATCCACCGAACCCGATGAACTGCATCCTAGGTTACTAAAGGAATTAGCTAACTTTGTTGCGAACCCTTTTAGTATATGTTTTAACCCAGGGTCGTCAAAAGACTGGAAGAACGTCACAGTAAGTCCTGTCTTCAAATCAGGTACAAAACATAAGCTTGAGCATTACCGATTCATTAGCCTAACTAGTGTGGTTGTTAAAATCTTAGAAAAGATCGTTCGGAAGCTGTTTAACTACCTTGATGAAAGCCGGATCCTCTCGGATAAGCAGCATGGTTTTAGAACAGGTTATTCTTGTCTCACTAACTTATCAGTCACTCGTGAAAGCTGGTGCACTCTTAAGGACCAAAAGTTACCTGTAGACGTAGCCTACATCGACTTCAGCAGAGCTTTCGATAAAGTTCCCCACAACCGGCTGTTATATAAGCTAAGGAATGTCGGGATTGGAGGCAATTTATTGTGTGGATAAAAGACTTCTTAGTTGGGCGTCAACAAAGAGTAAGGGTGAACTCCAAGCTGTCTAGTTGGGAAACTGTGCCTGGTGTGGTCCCCCAGGGTACAGTTTTGGGGCCATTGTTATTCTTCCTGTACGTAAATGACCTCCCTCGTCCACTATCGTCATCAGTCTTGCTCTATGCTGACGATGTCAAGATATGGAGAGTAAGGGTGAACTCCAAAATGACCTGGAGTTATTTTCTGAATGGTCCCAAGCCTGGCAATTGCCGATAAATACTTCCAAGTGTATTGCAATGCATATTGGCCACCAGGGTACAGATATATACACGATGAATAACACTGAGCTACCTATTGTCCAGACACACAATGACTTAGGCTTTATCGTTAGTCAAGACTTAAAGACTAATACACACTGCCGTGCAATAGTCACTAAAGGTTTTAGAGCTTTATAGTAAATACGAAGGGCTTTCAGTCATCTCGACACTAAAACGTTTCTGACTTTGTAAACAGTGTTCGTGCCTACTGAGTACTGCATACAAACAGCTAGCCCCTGCCTAAAAAAGACAGCGAACTCTTGGAAAGGGTTCAGAGAAAAGCAACTAGGCTGATTCCCGGAATAGCGAAGCTCCCGTATGGTACTAGACTGACCAAGCTAAACCTATTCCCGCTGTCATATACAAGAATCAGAGACGACTTGATTACAGTTTTCAAATTGCCTAATGACAAATTTGCACCTGGTATGCCCTCATTTTTCTCGTCTTCCAAAACAGAAAATCTACGAGGACACTCCAAAAAAGTTCACAAGCCCCGAACGAATTACTTGTCAGCTGACTACCGACTTTCCCATCGAATAATCAACGAGTGGAATTCATTACCTGAGAACGTGGTTGAGGCTCCATCCGTCGACTCCTTCAAAAGAAAGTCGGATCAGCTGAGAGACCATCATTGCCAGGACTAACAGAGGCCATCAAACCTCCTGTCCTTTCCAAACCGAAACCGAAACCGAGTCTGAAACCGAAACTCAAACTGAAGAGAATTTGTTTCATGAAATCAGACTATGGCCTCTCCAGTTCTTGAAGGCTGCAGGGAATTGTTACTGCTAAGAAAAAAACTAAGAGATAAGAATGAATGACAGTATTGGCCCTAATAATAGGACCACTGACCGATACTTGGAGTTTAGCAAGTCGGATAACCAGACCAGTCTTCCATACTTAAAGAAATCCCACTGGTTGAAAGTTTCGCCTCAGAAACCAATTTGATGATTGAGCCATACGACATCTTTGTATGACACCAGATATCTGTTACTTAATTTGTAAACTATTTTCCTTACTACATTCTCTTTCTGTTAATTGAACACTTAACCATTGGTGTAGGCTCAAGGACTACCAGGAAGTTGTTGTTTTAGTTCAGTTGCGGTCAGCTGATGATGGCATCATCCATTAACATCTTGAAAGCCGACTCTGTTCTTCGTCTCAGTAGGCTTGGGTTGTAAAATTATTTAGCTTATTTTCAAAGGTACTTTTTTAAAACGTTGGAAACCCGCATGGCTAGTTCTTTATGGGAATGGTGAACTGCGATACTTTGAAAGTAAGGATGATTATGTAGCGAAAGCGACTATTAATGTTCCACGAGTTTGCAGGGAAATTCTGTCTGGTCATGTAAGTTAATGAAAGTTTATGCTAAAGCTTAAGTATATCACTATATTATTAGGTTTACTATGATAATATGTTGTCTCTATAGTATTTCAAAAGTTTTAAGCACTAATATCTGATCTTAATTTATAGTATGGGTTGTTTGTAGGAATTTACTCGCAGATGTCTGCGGTTTTGTCTGTTGACTTCTCCAAATCATATCAACTAAGGTTGTCATAGATCTACGAAATCCAGTTAAATGAAAAACAACTTGATGTGCAGATATTACATCCTACCTGTCTGTCTGACTAATGCCCAGTGTGCATTTGTGCAATTATGGGTGGACATCTTCAGTAACAAAGAAAGTAAATTGGTCGACCTCTATTGTTTCTTGCAACTTGTTTCTCAGTAGAGACGCCATTTCTTGAAAATGTTCACTAATAGGCTTAATAGTTTTCGTTCAAGTAGGACGTTCTAGCTATTGACTCCTTGATTCAGGGAGCGAGATCCCGTTAAGTTTATTTGATTGTGGTTTTAAGCCTTTTCCCCTTGACCTCGGAGATGACAAGTTCCACTGGCGTAAAAATGATACCATATGTTGATACTGAAATTGCTTTTCAAGATTCAGCGCCGATGTAAGGTCACCTCGCGTCATATAGTGAGGGAAAGGTCCCAGTGTTGTAATCACTAATCGTAGGAGAGTCTGGAAAGACCTGTCATTAACTTTGTTCCTACTCATTGAACACGCTCAAGTGTGGTAGGATCTTTAGTAAGACATGGACTAGCTGAATAAATCCAATGCTCTAAGCGAGGTCTCACATAGGTGCACTATGAAATCCGAAACGTATCTTCAAAACATTTGAATACTTGGCCAAGTGACCTTAACACTCAGATATCTCTGGGAACTGGTGCATTGTAATTCACAGTTTCTTCTAAGACGTGACTGACTATTACTCCCGGGGCTCGTTGGAAGCTGTGTGCCAACGGTTGTATACCATTTACCATTGCCGTATCCAATGTTCATTAGCGCATTTCTAGGATTAGTCTCCAAACCTCAGTTTCGGGACCATCTAATTAGTTCTTCAAAATCAACTTGGAGATTAAGATGATCACTCTCACTACATATTGTTAGACTTTGACATGAACCGCAACAAAGTGTCAATAACTTAGACAGTCTTAGTAATTTATTGACGTAGGGGACAATATAGAAGACCTAATATTGTACCTTTGTGTACACCGTTTCTAACCATTTCTCATCCAGATACTGTCCCATTTACATTCACTCTCTCTTTGGGCATTGAAAGTTCCTTGTCCACTCTTGCCTGGCACTTGTTATTCGAAATCTGGAGACCGTGATATACCTTTCCAAATGTACTGTTAAAATCCATGGATAGTATGTCGAGACAAATCGATATCTTTGCCTGTTGTCCAATTTTCTGTCTCAACTAACAAATTAATCAAACATAAATGTCTCTCGTAACCGTTGTTGTTCATGAGTTAACAGATCATATAATTATACATAACGTATACTTAATTGTTTTTTCGATTTTAAGTGTGTTGCTGAGATGAAAATACTATTAAGGGTAGTACGGGACGAAATAATAGTAAAACATTGCTCATTTGCTTTTTGACTGTGTAATTCCATTTACTCGAAAAACTTTTATTTGCTAACTTTTCATGAACGATTTTTATTATAGCGTATCTTCATTTGTTGGACACTGTTAAACTAAACTGTTGCCGAACCAATCAGGGTTGATATCTACACTTCGAGGTCGTGCCAGATCTAACTTTTAAATTTCTTGATATCGACAGAACTCTTACTATAGATAGATCTAAGAGCAACATTAACGAAAATACTGTAATTGACTGTCTTCAGAGCGAATATGCGATAGGGAGTTTAAATGGGATTAGGTAAATGGCTTTTAATATAATTGTAGTGAGTTTTCTAGAATTTGAGATAAAAGTGACACTGTGTGGCATCTCCGGTTCTTTCGATAATAAAAAAGGATGAGTTCATACAGGGACCACGGTGTATACTGAAGATTGGAGAGTCTTTTTTTGAAAGATTACAATGCCCATTCAAAGCCATTGTCCACCAACGAACCCGTAGATCTTAGTAGGATCCACACTAATAACATAGAAGTGCGGGAGCAGTTGGACGGTTATTTGTACTGATATAAAGATTTCGAAAGAAAAATGACTTTTAGTCACGTGGATGAATTCCTCTACTGAACATTCTTTAATTTCAAAACAGTAACTCATTCTGAACACAGGAAATTTCATGAGTGGTGTAAAAAATGTATGTATTTCCTGTCTTTTTTCTCTGTATTATAACTCATCCTTTCATACATTTTTTTATGACTAGTGAAGTTGACATTACTTTTTAGCGGTTATTTATGTCGATTAATTTCGGCAACATTAGTTTAGCCTTGGACATACACTAGATGGTATCGTCCAAATAAGATTGATATGTGGTTGCTAGAAATTGTTACAAGATGTAGCAGTTAATTTTGCTAGATCCACGTTCTCATGAGGTCCGTTTATGTTCAATACAAACTATAAGTTTTCACATTTGCCGTTCTCACTAACTTCTAGTTAGAGCCATGTTGGTAGATGCAGACTACTTGGTTGGGGTTCGCGTGATTGTCGTGACCAATAGTTGGAGACCATGAGAGACGTGTCTCGGAATCAATCACAGTGGCGTACTTGTATACTCTTTGTGTCTCCTCTTAGATCACGGGATTAAAATCGCTTTCTACCTTTATTTGTACAAGCTAGTTCTTTCTTTCTGTAAAAACGTCTTGAGTTAAGCTGAAATGTTGACGTTTTTCGGCCACGGTCTGCACTCAGAGGTAGACAGTATAATTTTGTTGATGAGTGGTAGACAACACAAAGCCTCATTGACTGCCTTTGATAAAATGACGCAAACATTATTTTCTTCTCAATGGTCAAAAATAGTAAATCCCTTACGCATTCTTATATGGAAACAACGAAGTAGACATTTTGAGCATTCTGTCAAAACATGGATGCTTATTTCACTTTATTTGTTATAGTACCTGTTTCGTTACTCAAAACTCGACTATTACAGTACCCTTTGAATTTTAATATTTCTATTCTCTCTTTTGTTTTTGAAGCGAAATATCGATCCACCTAAAGATCGTTCTAGCGAGTGCATTTTCGGCCTCAGGACAGATGAATCTGACTGGTATTTCTGCGCCCAGTCACCTGATGATGCAGTGGTATGGCGTCTTGCTTTATCTGAAGTAAAAGGAATGTCCATCCCTCGTTATCGAGTTCGTATGCCACCTCCAGAAGCTCCACCACCAGGTTATACAGATGGCACAAACTACTATCAATACGCATGTCCTGCTGAAACCACAGTTCCTTTATATCAAGCTTCTGGAGGAATACGGGAAGTACCTGTAAGTAACAGGTCCATAATGAATGCTGTTAATCCTGTATTTAATTTATATTGTAATCTAACATGGTAAGGGTGTACATATAATTTGTTTCTAGTGTGTTTGGTAGTGTAACTGATCCATAAACTTGATTCCTCATTAAAGAGTCCTTTGCTATGAGCATAGATAAAATCTTCAGTACAGCTTTATGAAAATTTTAGTAGCGCTTCAGATACAGTTTTTACTTTGAATAAATGGAAATAAACAAACAACAAATAAACAAATTTCCTGTGACGTTCATTGTGATAGAGTATAGAGGAAAATGCAAAGGTTGTCTTTGGAGAAATTCGTTACAATGATGTTGTCCATAGGCTCAAGCTTCACACATCTTCGCTCCATTTGTCGAATAATATCATCAGGAAAGGTATGACTAACTTACTTTTACACGAAACGCTATATGACCAGTAAGTTACAGTCATTTTTCTGGGTAAAAAAGCAATCATTTCCATAATCTACACAAATTAGTTCTTGACAAGACGTTTCAAAAAAAGTATTGAGCTTGATAATAACTAGTATTAATTAACAGGTAATCGGTTGAAACATCATATAGTTGATAGATCAGTGTCAGGGTCATTATCCTAATTTAAAGCAATTTTAGGCAACAGGATATGAACATTTGGTAGTTCTCATAAATAAAAGAAATACCTTGAAAAAAAGTTTCTTAAGGTTTTGGTAAATATATCACAGTCAGGTAATACTTCAGTTTAATCTCAATCTTCAGTTTCTTTAACATACCATAAGTGTTAATTCCCCTTTCAACAATTATCCATGAATTTCATCTGATAGTCCTGACGATGCAAAAGTGTAACAAAAATAAACAAAAGAGTGAACAGTAATTGGTTAAACTTGAATTCCCTCATTGTGGAACGTGTATGCGTGGTACGGACGAGAGTGGGGAAAGCCAGCCTTCTCTCATGACCACGTGCATACAAACACTGCCACGGATATCCTACTCACTGCCTTCTAGTGGCGAGTAGGTGTTTACGAAATTAAGAAAACAAAAAGCGAATGTCAGGCACTTGAACCGGTCGATGGACACGGAAATTCCAGCTAGTGGAGTTGGAAAACCCTAATTCCAAACCAATAGTGCACATGAGCTCCAGTATCCTGTTGGAACAAATAGTATATGAACCAATTGTTGGTCACCTGCTACTATGTGACTGCATTTCATTACATTGCTCCACTGCCTTGTGGATCAGACCTTTAGGTCGAAAGTCACTTTATCTTCCCCTAAACCTTGAGATTAAAATAGCTTCATATCTGTCTTTCTTCCTGTACTATATCCTTATCTAAAATCTTTCTTTTATATGTTACCACCACTAAACTAACTATTTCTATAAATCTCGTGTTCATCTTGTTGTGCTAAGGAGGTATGGCAACTTGGACCGATGCATATATGTGCCTGGTCCTACGTCGCAGCTGACTGACTGACTCAGGTCGACGGCTCTGGGTGTGTCCCTCCAAGAAAAGCACCTGCTTCAATTTGAGCACCTGGGCAGTAACACAGCCCTCACACAAATCGAATAAGATTTGTGTGGCGCATATGTGTCTGGTGTTTCGTTGTACCAATATTTATATGTTTAAGTAAATAAAAAAATAAAAAAACACTATTATGGTGTTCTTTTAATTACTGACTAACATTAATAAATATGATAAGTTCATGATTTTATGCAGTTATATCGGATCATGTTATTAAATTGTTCCCTCAGAATCCTGGAGTCCATATGTACCATTACTTTGAAATCAATGTTTTCCAACTCCCCTAGGTGGACTTTCCGTTTCCACTAACTCGGTTAAAGCTCCAGACATTCGCTTTCCGTCCTTCCAATATCGTAAACAACATCCCTCCCCGTCACGAGGAAACAGTAAGTAGGATTTTTGGGGCAGTGGTTGTACATACGTGGCCATGTGAGGAGAGCATTTTAAGAGCAAAAGCTGACTCTTCTCATTCTCGACCGTACCAGGGCATTTGGGGGCTGTTTTTTTAAACACATAAATAAATACATAAATTTATGACCATAGTTATTTTATATTAATTACATAGAATGACTTATCTTGTTTTAATTTTTCTATAGATTATATATCGTGGTTCAGATGGTCAATATATAATGCCTCGACAAATTATTGAACATCCTGATGGATCACGTACAATTATACTTGGTGATGGTAATGAAGTTCCATGTCATTGTCGACATGGTTATTATTGTGGTTGTGGTTATGGTTATAGTGTTGGTGATGCAGCTTTATTAGGTATAGCAGCTAGTACATTGATGTGGTCTCCTTTCTTATGGTCACCATTTTTTTGGTGTTAAGTTATATTCCTTCATTCATACAAGATAAAGTCCATCTTTGTCGTCGACGACGTCGTTGTTGTTGAGATTTTCTTTAGTCATAGATTATGTCATCATTTATCTTTATTATCTTGTTATCTCAAATGGTATTCAGGTATTTTTCTTTTCCTCTTTTGGTTTTTATTGATGATGATTTTGATATTTTCTCTATTTCTTTGTCTTATTGACATAAGAATATTTTTGAATATTTTACTTTGCTGTTTTTGGTCAAAACAACAATAATAAAGTTTATTCTTCCATATTATTACTTTTTATTTGTCATCAAAGAGGAGTCAATTGTAGCTAGATCAGCATGGAATATCTGTCAATAATGTACGGTTGTTTCGTCCTGGTATGGGATTCATCAGCAGTGCGGATAAACAATTGGCCCAGTAGTCTAGAAGTTGAGCGCTCGCGCGTGAGACTAATAAATCCTTGATTCGAACCTCGTGAGGTGGTATTATGGATGATCGATCACTGATGAGGAGTCCCACACTAGGACGAAATGTCTGTCTAGTGCTTCTAGGTTTTTTCATAGCCGTCTAGCTTCAATTGACTCATGAATTCAACTATTAAAATTTGTTTTTTTAGTTGTTGGATTCTATAATGATTAGCTTGATGGAATTTTATAATTATCTGTTGAAGTTTATATAGTTTGTCTTAGTTTTCATCTAAAGGAATAACGGTTTGGATTATACTTGCATCTCAGAGTTGATGTTCACTCTGGGACTCGAACCCAGTACCTTTCGCTTCAAACATCATCGCGTCCTCCACTCGGCCGCTGAGTTCTGATAGCCACTTGCTTGTGCGATGGGGTGAAGTTTAAAGTCATTAAGTATTGTGGCTATCAGGACTCAGTGGCCGAGTGAATAACGCGATGGCGTTTGAAGCGAAAGGTACTGGGTTCGAGTCCCAAGGTGAACATCAACAAATCTGAGATGCAGGTGCATCCAGCAAGTGACGAGTCCCAAATAGGACGAAACGCGCATAAAACTGGATTCCACTACTAGCCACTATCCATCTTTGCTTATAATGCTTGTGAATTAAGGCTATATCGAGGCAATACGCACAGTATGCACATATGCCAATTAGAGACTTACCAGTTGCAGTCCTAACACATCAATGGGAAGATTCAAACAAACAATACTTAATGGGTTTGGATTATAGTTGTCTAGTAATTTTCCTGTCTTGATGCATAACTTAGAAGTTAGTTGAGTGTATCGTAGTACCAAGTTTAGAATACAAAGAAACTCAAGTTTTCCGTACAGTAAAACTACTAAGTATTAATTGAATTGGAAAACAGGAATTACGTTATGGACTCAGTGATCTGGAGGTTAAGCGTTTGCATGTGAGACTAAAGGTCACGGATTTGGTCCCTGCGTGCAGAATCGTAGGTACTCACTGATGCGAAGTTCTATACTAGGATGACATGGGATTCCAGCACTTCGATTGTGGTCTAGCTTAGATCAGTTTGTGATTTTAATAAAAATCGACAATCTCTGTAAACCTGTATCGTAAAAAGGGCCATACCACATTATCACAGAGATGCAGTTGTCGATTCAAATCCCATAGTGGTAGAAGTAATAAGAGTAGAAGCTTTATGTGAAGGGTTAGGGTTTGAAGATGTTATTCAAAGAGTATAATCCAGTGAAATAAATTTGAAAAGAGATGGACATAAAGAATTCAGAAGATTAGAATTTGGGAGAACACAAAGATTGGATGCACCTACGCCATTGCACACGACACCTATGATCGAATACTGGCAGTCTACGAATATCCTCTACTCTTACCGGCCATGTTTCACTGCCATAAAGTAGGACGGACCGAACTGCTGCACAGTAAACCCATCCTTTGATTGTTAGTCAATAAGTTGTTTAAATGATTTCTTGTGAAAATTGCATAAATAAGGTAAACATTATTGAATTAGCGAACGGTAATGTTTAACATTCAAAATATGACAGTCGTTTACGTTGTCATCACAAATTTTCATTGACAAATTAACATAATCTTCTTTTTATTATGATGCTGATGAATGGTTTCATTCAATATTAAGTGTGTAATTCAATATGGAATCCATAGTTCAAGAAGTTTCAAAACGTTTCTTTTACTGAAAATGAGGAAAGGTGAAAAAGCTGATAACTGCATAAATAAACTACTTGGTATTGTTTGAAATGTCTATTTGAAAAGATTAGGAATATGTAAAACACTTCCAATCAGAAACATGTCTGAGAATACTAGTTATTGACTCCATCATCAAGTACAATCTATTCGTCAGGTAGTATGTATTCTATATACGATATTGTAGATCATTTATACTTTTGCTTACGAACATGGATTCTAGTGCATTAATGCCTCGTTCTACTAAGAGATATAAAGGAAGATATGAATAAAAATGGATGGTCATTACCTGCTAAAATCACACTTGTTAAAATTAAGTAAGATATTAAATGTCTTTCCACAACCGTCTGAATAATGAACTCAAGAGATTCAAGATGAATCATGTCGACTATCATAAGCACTCTTCACGATAAAGCAAATGTCAGTAAAGAGACAATTGAGAACAGTAATGAACAATCAGTTTTATGCAGAAATTGACAAATTGTATAAGTCAATGTCACATAACCCCAAAAGCATTTAGTCTATTCATGAAGCATGTCATACTGCACACTTACAACACACTTCCTATTAACAATATTTGAAGTACACAAGAAGGCATATAGAGACACTATTTCAAATAATTCATAAACTGAATTATACTGCTTCTGAGCACAATAACCAATTCATACTATTACATACAGAGATAAGTTCTCCTCCTGTAATACGATATTTGTCAACGGCTTGGAACGGACAATGTGTCATTGAAAACAAATTAGATGTTAATATGTTCACGACATTAAACAACAACCATTTGTCGGAACACAAACTGCAATACTAAAGGGGGCAACATTTTCAATATGTCGACATCCTTCCAAAGTATAACAGCACACCTCTACTGTACGAAGAGAAAAAACCGGTAACCAATTTTTCACTAGTGTAATAATAATTCCATTAGATTTCACATCTTACTATTTTAACTGCAAATTTATGTTTTTGGTTCAAGAAATACTTTTTGATTTTCAACAATTCACTTTCAATAAAATGCATTGTACGTTCTATTATTACAATCTTTAGAAACGTAAATCTAGATAACAGAACACATTCAGTTTCATTGCTACATGGCCCTCTGATTAGAACATCTATTAACAGCCATGGTAATGATTGTAGATCAAATAGATTAAATGTGTCTTTGTTCAGAAGTCGAAATTTCATACTGAACGACGGTGAAATCTTTTGATTGAAGCAATATTCATGTTAAGAAAAGTAACCTTTAACATCCGATCAAAACAGTCTGTGGTATTTTGATTTTATTCAGTGAAATCAAAACAATGCAACGTTGGCGGTCAAATAACAGAACAATACGTGGAACAAACAATTAATTAGTGTTTATCATAGTTGAAAGCGTGAGTCAATTGAAGCTAGACCACCAAGGAAAACCTGTAAACACTGGACGGCCGTTTCGTCCTGTTATGGGACTCATCAGCAGTGCGCATCCACGAACCCGCTTTCACGAGCATATCAGCTCACACGTTCAACTACAAAATAACCAGCCATCTATTTTTTTTTGAGGTATAGTCAATCATACCTAAGAAAAGTTTCATTAACAAGGTTCAGCAACTTCAACCAACAATGGATAAATTTAAGCTGATGTTCTCAACAGTAAGAAGAATATTGGATAACGATAAAGTCATATACCTCCATGATTAGTTTATAATGAACATGTGATTTTAATAACAATTTCTATTAATTCACTTAGTATTGTTTGTTTGGATCTTCCCATTGATGTGTTTAGGACTGCAACTGGTCAGTCTCTAATTGGCATATGTGCATACTGTGCGTATTGCCTCGATATACCTTAATTCACAAGCATGGTAAGCAGAGATGGATAGTGGCTAGCAGTGGAATCCAGGACGCGCGTTTCGTCCTATTTGGGACTCGTCACTTGCTGGATGTACCTACATCTCAGAGTTGATGTTCACTCTGGGACTCGAACCCAGTACCCTCGCTTCAAACGCCATCGCGTTATCCACTCGGCCACTGAGTCCTGATAGCCACTTGCTTGTGCGATGGGGTGAAGTTTGAATTCACTTAGTATTGTTTGTTTGGATCTTCCCATCGATGTGTTTAGGACTGCAACTGGTCAGTCTCTAATTTCCATTAATATCTAATTTATAACTTCATATAAGAAAATGAGATAAGTATTGAATGAACATACGAAGTTGAATTGTAATTTGATTCAATGACATATTGTTGTTTTGTTGATTTGGATTATTTTAGTTATACATTGTTCCGTTGTCTATCGATATTCTTATATTCTGATCATCGTTTAGCTTTAAAAATTCTTCTACTATGAAGTGAATTGTAATGACTTTAAATTTCTAAAGTATCTGAAAGTAATTTTTGATAATCACTCATATCAATATGTAAGTAATCTGTCAGATTCTAATACAAATACCCAGTCTGTTACCCAGCCAGTTACCCCTCGTCGAGGAGCATAGGCCATTCACCAGCATTCTCCATCCAATTCTGTCCTGAGCCTTCCTTTCCAGTTCTTTCCAGTTGCTATTCATTCTTTTCATATCTGCTTCTATTTCCCGGCGTAATGTGTTCTTTGGCCTTCCTCTTTTCCGCTTCCCTTCAGGATTCCAAGTTAGGGATTGAGTCGTGATGTACATTGGTGATTTCCTTAATGTATGTCCGATCCACTTCCAACGTCTTTTCATAATTTCTTCTTTAGCTGCAGCTGGTTTGTTCTCTCCCATAAAACGCTGTTGCTGATAGTATCCGGCCAATGGATATTGAGTATTTTGCGTAGACAACTATTTATAAATACTTGTACCTTCCTGATGATGGTCATAGTAGTTCTCCACGTTTCAGCTCCATAC